CCAATTGTTTACTATTACCAGTAAAGCTGTTATGAACATTTGTGTACACATTTCTGTGTAAACTTAAGTTTTCATTTCTCTAGGATAAATATCCAGTAGTGTGATTCCCTAACTTATTTTTGTGTTGTCTGTTTTACTACTAAAAGAGGGGTGTTACAATTAACTAAGACTGTGAATTTGTCTATTTCTTGTGTTTCTCTCAGGTTTGTTTTTTTTTTTAAGTATTTTGAAGGCATTTATTTTGTTTCTTGGTGAATTGACCTGCTTTTTTTTTTTTTGCGGTACGCAGGCCTCTCACCGTTGTGGCCTCTCCCGCTGTGGAGCACAGGCTCCGGATGCGCAGGCTCAGCGGCCATGGCTCACGGGCCCAGCCGCTCCGCGGCATGTGGGATCTTCCCAGACCGGGGCACGAACCCGCGTCCCCAGCATCGGCAGGCGGACTCTCAACCACTGCGCTACGAGGGAAGCCCTGACCTGCTTATTTTTATGAAATCATTTTATATCTGGTGATGTCTGCCTTGTTTGATATTGATATAGCCACTGTAGGCTTTTTATGATTAATATTTGCATGGTATGTCTTTTTATCCAAGCTTTTTGTTTTTAAACTCTCTCTGTCTTTATATTTAAAGTGTATCTCTAGTAAATGGTATTTTTTTTAATCCAGTGTGACAGTCTTTATTTTTCAATTGCAGTGTTTATCCATTTACGTTTAGTGTGACTACTAATATGGTTGGGTTTAAGTATACCATCTTTTGTTTTCCATTTATCCTATGTGTTATTATGTCTTTCCTGCTTTTTTTTTCTAAATTGACTATATTTTAATTTTTCATTTTATGTTGTCTATTGGGTTTTTTAGCTATACCTTGTTGTGTTGTCATTTGGTGATTGCTTTAGGAAGTGCAATATTCATTTTTAACTTACCACAACCTATTTTGTTGTTGTTGTTGCTTTCTTTTTGGCCATGCTGTGCAGCTTGTGGGATCTCAGTTCCCTGACCAGGGATTGAACCCGGGCCACGGCAGTGAAGGCCTGGAATCCTCGCCACTAGGCCATCAGGGAACTCTATTACAACCTATTTTGAATTAGTGCTCTATTATTTGACCTTTGACGTAAGTACCTTTAAAATTTAACCTTACTCTAGACCCAGTCCTGATCTATAGGAGCCTGAGATAAGCAGCAGCCTGTTGATAGAAGTTAGAACCTGGAATAGAAAAATACCTCAAGGCCCTTGTGATTATCATATGCCAGCCATTGAGAATACAAATGTAATTAAGGTTAAAAAAAAAAAAAAACTTTACCTTTTATGTTGAGATAAATTGATTGAGATAAAGTACAAAGCAACCCTTAAAATTGATTAAAAGTTCATCAAGGAACTTAACAGAACCTAGGGAGGAGGAATGAGTAAAACTAAGAGGTGGGCAGCAGTGCCTTAGTTTATAGGAGCTATCATTCACATTGTGAACTGCACCCTTTGGAGTTGTCCAGGGGACAGCCTGTACACTTTTACATGGGAATCCTTAGGTACGAGTTGGGCAGAAAAGATTTTCTAAGAGAGCTGGCATACGAGAAATTTTAAAAAGGTGAATGGGCGTTTGTTAGGCACAGAAGTATAGGGGAAGGACCTTACAGTCAGTCTTTTTCAGGGCACAGTGAGGTATTATGATTAGAAAATGGATTGTATGTGTTAGAATGGTGAGAGATAAAGTTAGAGAGGCACTGTATTTCAGTGATTGTAATATGCACATTTCTTCACATTTTAACATCTCTCAGATGCATTTATGCCTTGCAATCTCCATGGGAAGTTGGAATCTTATGATTCATGGCATCTCAGATTTGATGAAATATTGTAGGTTCCAGCTAGACTCAATGTCCTTTATGTTTAAAAAGGCTTTTGTATTTTATCCTCTACATAGTTGTAAGGGGAATAACTTTTAAGTGGAAAAATATCATTATTTGTTTAAATAATATAATTCGGTGATATTGTACAGAATTTATTGTGGCTAAAAAAATAGCAGCAGTGTAGGAATTTAGGCAAGGTCTGTAGAGGACCTAGTTAAAGGCAGCGCCAGTCGGGTGTTGTGGGGTTCCTGGTAGATGAACTGTTGGAACAAACCAGGAAGATGCAGTTACTACTAAGAATGGTGCTTATTGATGGAGAGAGAGGAATCACATATAAAGTTGAGTTTTCTGAATTTAAAAAGGGGATGATTGCTGTAACAGTTAAGGACACTCATCAATAGTGTTTATTCTGGCACCAGATGTAACTAAATATTTTTGCTGACCAGAGGGCTAATCAATATCAATATATCAATAAACAAGACAAAGTTTTCTCAGGATCTTTTACGTAATATCTATGTCAGTGTATATGTGGGTTGTCTAACAAAATAATAATTATAGTATAGGTTTATGTTGGATGGAGCCTGAATTATGAGACACTTCAAAATTACTGACCAAAAAGAAAGAAAGAAAAAGTCATTCAGATTCTTTCATCCTAGCATCCATTCCAGGAAAAAGACATTGCTAACATTTGGAACAAAATAATAATCCTAGTATGGGTTAGTCATAGTTTTTGGCCATAGACCAGCCCCCATCTTGTTCACATCTAATAGGACAAGTTCAAAGTAAATGCTTACTTAAATAGTATCTTCATTGTTTAAGAAGGGTGATACAGTATTTACTGGCGTGGACCCTAGTTTGTATTTAGGAAACTAGCCATTTTGAAGAATTAGTGTTTTTAACAAAGTTAATTTGTCATATTAGAATGAAATCATATAATAGTTTCTCATTTACGTACAGTGATGGAGAGGAAAACGACGTGAGTAGTTTAAACTATTTGCTTTTGGAAATAATTGTATAGTTTTTACTTAACTTACTGTTTGAAGACACCTTTTATCTGCTGTTTTAAATTTTATTGTCCCCACCTCTTACCTTAGCCACTGTTGGCTGCAACAGGTTCCACACAGGCTCCGGACAATTCCAACTTGACAGCATCTCTCATCAGGTACACATGCTGTGTACTTCTTGCAGTGAGGAACAGTAGTCAGTGTATAAGTTCTTCCTCTTTTGTCCTTTACACACGGAGCTCTGAATCACATTTTACATATTCTTGTCCATAAGCAAAGGTTTTGTTGGACAAATAAGTTTAGGAATGAGTTTAAACATGGTTATTGTGATTCAGTGCTCATTTTCCCCCATAATTCTTTGTAGAAACCATAGGTTATTGTGATTCAGTGCTCATTTTCCCCCATAATTCTTTGTAGAAACCATAGGCCCAGAGAGGTTGAATTAATTTGGTAATATTATTTTTAATAAATTTTCAAATAGAGTGTTATGAACTATTTTGAGAATGCAGGAGATGTGCAAAGGACTGACTTCTTAAAAAGAAGTATCACAGTTACATTCCTTAAAACCAAGAGGGGGGCGTCCCTGGTGGCGCAGTCGTTGAGAGTCCGCCTGCCGATGCAGGGGACACGGGTTCGTGCCCTGGTCTGGGAGGATCCCACATGCCGTGGAGCGGCTAGGCCCGTGAGCCATGGCTGCTGGGCCTGCACGTCCGGAGCCTGTGCTCTGCAACGGGAGAGGCCACAACAGTGAGAGGCCCGCGTACCGCAAAAAAACCCCAAAAACCTAGAGGGGACCAGTTGGGGGTGGAGAGACTGACACGGGGACAGGAGGATATTTTTTTGTGATGATGGAAATGTTTCATATTTTGATTTTGGTGGTGGTTACATTACTGTATATATTGAACTGAACACTTAAAAAGTGTGAATAAAAAGAAACAACCAAGCAGCTCCCCTGTGCTTTTTTAAAGAAAAATAAACAAGTTCTAAGAGTTTTTATTGTTTGACTAATAATACACAAATCAGGCAGAGAAGTCCCTAATGAAATGATGGTCACGTTTTACTGTATCTGCCTGTTGATCCTTCATTTTCTAAGCACTTATTTTCTTTTTATATTAGACTTTTATTTTGATTACAAATGCCCGTGTGAATAAATAAATGCTTTGTCTTTTATCCCTCCCCCATCATTTTTCTTTAAATAGACAAAGGGACAAATTTCTCCTAATTGCATATTCAGCCATAGTTGCCCAATCTGTGATTTTAATAAGAGACTGTAATTCAATCTTCTAAATCATTTTACACTATAATTGTAGGCTATACCTTGTTCTCCTAAAGAAACTTTTGGGTATCAGTCCTATTGATATTACTGATAATCTCCAAATGGTGAGGAGGGTAACTGGTATGGAGGCAACTGGAGGATAGCTTGAGCAAACTAGATACCAATGGGAAATTGCACAGAGGCAAATTTTATTGCATAAACTAGAAGAATGGCCCTCATTGAGGCTGACCCAGCTATGGCCTCTGGTCCATTTCTTGCTGTCAGTTGGTATCAGTTGTGGTGGAGTTCTATCTTTCCCTCAGTTTTGAGCCGTATTGTAATCAGTTATGGAAAACAGACTCCCTCAAAGTCTGTTAAATGTAATTGAAAATTACACTATCTATGATACCCATTGTGAAGGTCCCGCCCCAGTCATTCAGTTTTTGAAGGGTAAGGCTGTTGCCTGGATTCCTCCAGGACTTGCTGTATGCTCCCTAATAAACTTTGATTAGTTCAGTATTTTACTATCTAGAGAGAATTAAATATCTATCATGTTTGTTGAGTATAAAACTTTATTGTGATAGACCTTAAAAAAATTGAATTTAATTAGCTTTAGTCATTAGCTGTTAAATATTGTGGAAAAAAATCACATGATCTGGTTTCTTCTTTTGTTATGTTTTATTTCATCCAATTTAAAAGTCATTCTCTTTTCTAAATGGCTTTGTGCTTCCTCTAAAATGTTGTCCTACATGTAATAGGCAAATCAGAGGTTTAATAAACTAGTATGTTAAGTTTATTTCCAAGGTAAAGTGAAGATATTTATTTTTATATTTGTGCATTTTACACATCACCTTACTTTCAGAAGTATTTCTAACTTGTACTGTATTTTGTGTTTTTTTTAGTGAAAATATTCTCTTTGGAATGGGAAATCCTCTTCTTGACATCACTGCTGTGGTGGATAAGGATTTCCTTGATAAGTAAGTATTAAGCTCTTCATATGTACTATGTGAAACTTACAGCTAAAGAAAAACTGAAAATTTTAGAATTGAATTTACTGTTTAACATCTTCAATTGGAGGAAAATTCAGGAAATTTAAATCTGATAATAGCAAGTGCACCATTATTATTTATTGAGTAATTGACCGCAGTTTTCCCTGGGAAAACTTAGGTACATTTGTTCATTCCTGTTGCTACTTTCACTTGAAATTTATTTTTTTATTCTTTGCAAGGAAGAAGTATGTGAATAACCTAATGATTTAATTTCCACATTTTAAAATTACTGTCAGTGAACTAAATCTATAGTGGTGCCATAACATATGGGAGAAGGAATAGGATTAGAGAGGGCAAGAAGAATATGTAGGACTTAATTCAAACACCGTGAATCTCCACTATTTCCCCCAATAATAGCTTTTGATGTTGTTAATTTAGCTGAGAAATCATTTTATTTATCTGTCTGTGATGATTTGGTGCAAGGAAAAAAAAGTACTAAAAAATATTTAATAATGAGAAATTAAGATCCCCTTCCCCTTGAACACCCCAAGTTCTATGCCCAGGGGCAACCATTTTAAAAAAAATATTATTGAGGTAAAATTTACTTAAAATTAAATCATAATTTTAACTATTTTAGAGTGTATGATTCAGTGACTGCTAGGACATTTGCAGTGTTGTACAACCGTCACCACTATCTAACTCCACGACATTTCATCACCCCGAAAAGAAACACATGGCCATTAAGTGGTCATTTCAGTATTCCCACCTGCCCTCCCCACCTCTCCCCAATCTCCTGGGAGCTACCAGTCTGTTTTCTGTCTCCATGGATTTGCCTGTTCTGGATATTTTATTTCATATAAGTGGAGACATACAATATGTGGCCTTTTGTGTCTGGCTTATTTTACTTAACATGATGTTTTTCAGTGCTCTTCCATGTGTCATCAAAACATATTATTAGGGGGAAATAGTGGAGATACATGGTGTTTGAATGGTGGATGGATGTTTGAATGGATACATGGTGTCCTACATATTCTTCCTGCCCTCTCTAATCCATGTTGTAGCATGTATCAGTGCTTCATTCCTTTTAAGGCAGAATAATACTCCATTGTTTGTATATACCACAGTTCGTTTATGCATTCCTCAGTTGGTGGAGCCATTGGTTGATGGGCACTTGGATTGTTTCGGTTTTTAGCTATTATGAAGAAAGCTGCTGTGAACGTTCATGTACAAGTTTTTGCATGGGTATATATTTTCATTTCTTTTGGGTATATATATTGGAGTGGAACTGCTAAGTCAGATGGTAATTCTGTGTTTAGCTTTTTAAAGAAGCATATCCTTGCCAAAACATGGTCTTTTCCCTTTTTAAAATTATAGCCATCCTGGGACTTCCCTGGTGGTCCAGTGGTTAAGACTCTGTGCTTTCATTGCTGGGGTCATGGGTTCGATCCCTGGTTGGGGAACTAAGATCCCACATGCTGCGTGGCATGGCCAGAAAAAAAAAAAGGAGAAAAAATAAAATTATAGCCATCCTAGTGGGTGTAAAGTAATATTGTGGTTTTGATTTACATTTTTCTAATTACTAATGATGCTGAGCATCTTTTCATGTGCTTATTGGCCATTTGTATATCTTTGGAAAAATGTGTATTGAAGTTCTTCACACATTTTTTAATTTGTTTTTTGTTGTGGTTGTAAGAATTCTTTATATATTCTTTTTTTTTTTTTTTGCGGTACGCGGGCCTCTCACTGGTGTGGCCTCTCCTGCTGCAGAGCACAGGCTCCGGACGCACAGGCTTAGCGGCCATGGCTCATGGGCCCAGCCGCTCCACGGCATGTGGGATCTTCCCGGACCGGGGCATGAACCCATGTCCCCTGCATCGGCAGGCAGATTCTCAACCACTGCGCCACCAGGGAAGCCCTATATATTCTTAATACTAGACCCTTAATAGGTTTATGATTTGCAAACATTTTCTCCTATTCTGTGGGTTATTTTGACTTTCTTGAGAGTATCCTTTAATGTGTAAGTTTTAAATTTTGATGAAGTCCAGTTTATTTTTTCTTTTGTTGCTGTGCTTTTGCTGTCATATCTGAAAATCTGTTGCTAAATCTAAGGTCACAATGATTTATGCCTATGTTTTCTTCTAGGAGTTTTAGCTCTTAAGTTTAGAGCTTTGATCCATTTTAATTTTTGTGTCAGATGTGTGGTAAGGGTTCACTTCATTTTTTTGCATGTGGAAATCTAGTTGTCCCTGCACCATTTGTTGAAGAGAGTTTTCTTTTCCCCATTGAGTGGTCTTGGCCCTCTTAAAAATCCGTTGACCATAGGTGTTTGGGTTAATTTCTGGCTTCTCGGTTCTATTCCATAAGTCTGTATGCTTGTCCTTATTCCAGTACCACACTGATTTGATTACTGTAGGTTTGTAGTAAGTTTTGAAGTCAGGAAGTGTGAGCCCTCCAACTTTGTTGTTGTCTTTCAAGGTTGTTTTGGCTATTCAGAGTCCCTTGCAATTCCATGTTACTTTTAGGATCAACTTGTCCATTACTGTAAAAAAGGCAGTTGGAATTTGGAATGGGATTGCACTGAATCTGTAGATCAGTTTTAGAAGCATTGCCATTTTAACAATATTAAGTCTTCCGATTCATGAACAGGAGATGTCTTTCTTTAAGTTGTTTCAACAGTGTTTAGTAGTTTTAAGTTTAGAAGTCTCGCATTTCATTGGTTAAACTTAATCCTAAGTATTTCATTATTTTTGATGCTACTGTAAATGGAATTGTTTTCTTAATTACATTTTTGGATTGTTCATTGCTAATACATAGAAATACAACTGATTTTGGGGGATAACCATTTTTAACAAATTCTGTTTTTTAATGTCTTGGAGATTATCTTTATAACTCTTAATCTGTATAAATTCGAGTGTCAAAGGATCAGGCAAGAATTTATAAATGTGTAAATTTGCCCTATTGTAATATAATAGGAAATAGGTTGAGGCGCCAAGGACAAACTGGAGAATGTCTTATCCTAAGAAATTCAGATACAAATTTTTAAAATATACTTTGCTAATCAGAAACACTCCTGCATACAATTATGTTAATGGTTTTACTTCTGATTGCCTTGTACTTTTAAATGATATACACACATTAAAATATTTTCTTGTATCAACTTTCAATAGAATCCTTAGACTTCTCATTATATAGAATTAGAAGTGCCTCTGTTCTTCCGTCTGCTACTTCGCTCCTTTTAAGTTCTGTTAACCTTCTACTTTAACTCCTGACTCTAACTTCTACGCTAACTTTTAACTTTCTACTTTCTAACTTCTGTTTAACTATATTTTTTATTTTAATAAAGATTGATATGTTTTCATTCTGTTAGCTATCTATAATTGTCTTACCAACTTTGAATACAAAGTGGTAGTGAAGATTGAAAATCACTTAAACATACTTAATACTACTATCACTGTATTTATCCCTTTTTTCAGAATTAAATAGTACACTAAGAATGTAGAGTAGGTGTAACGTTTGGAATGTAATAAGAGCACTTAACTCTATTAACAAACTAAAGAAAGAAAAATCACATTGTCATCTCAATAGATAGAAAAACCATTTGCCAAAACTACTATCTATTCCTGATAAAGTTTCTTATAGCATTCTTAGAATAGAAGGGAACTCCTTTAACCTCATAAAATTTGGGTTAGGGAAAAGCCTACTAATAACATAATTCCTAATGGTGAAAGTCTGCATGCTTTCCCCTAAGATCAGAAACAATTCAAGGATGTCCACTCTCACCACTTCAAAATGTATGCAGTGGTCCTGAAGATTCTGTTCAGGACAATCAGGCAAGAAGTAAAAGACATCCAGGTTGCAAAGGAAGGAATAAACTGTTTTTATTTCCAAAAGGCATGATCATTTATGTAGAATAACTGATGGAATCTACAAAAAAAGCTACTACCTGATTTCTAGAATTATTATAAAGCTACAGTAATCAAAACAGTGATATCAGTGTAAAGTTTGATGGCATAGAATAGAAAGTCCAGAAATAGACCCACGCAGAAATGGACGACTGATTTTTTTTTTGTAATTAATTAATTTTTGGCTAGGTTGTGTCTTCGTTGCTGCACACGGGCTTTCTCTAGTCACAGTGAACGGGGGCTACTCTTCGTTGCGGTGCATGGGCTTCTTATTGCCGTGGCTTCTTGTTGCGGATCATGGGCTTCAGTAGTTGTGGCATGCGGGCTCAGTAGTTGTGGCTTGCAGGCTCTAGAGCGCAGGCTCATTAGTTGTGGCGCAAGGGCTTAGTTGCTCAGTGGCATGTGGGATCTTCCTGGACCAGGGCTCGAACCTGTGTCCCGCTTTGGCAGGCGGATTCTTAACCACTGTGCCACTAGACAAGTCCCTGGACGACTGATTTTTGACAAAGGTGCAAGGCAGTTCAGTGGAGAAAGGATTGTCTTTTCAACAAATAGTGCTTGAACAATTGGTTATCAACATGCATAAAAATGAATTTCGATCTGTATTTTGTACCATATACAAAATTAACTGATAGAACTAAATGTCAAGCCTAAAAGTATAACACTTCTGGATGATAATATAGGAGAAAATCTTTGTGGCTGTGGTTTAAACCAGAATTTCTTAAATGTAGAACACCAAAAGTATGTTCTATAAAAGAAAAATTGATAAGCTGGACCTTTTCAAAATGAAAATTTTTACTATTGGAAAGACACTGTTATAAGAATTAAAGGACAAACCACAGGTTTGGAGAAAATCTTTGCAAAGCGTATGTCTGATAAAGGACTACCAGTCAGAATACATAATAAGCTCTCAAAACTCAATCAGAAAAGAAACAACCCAATAAAAAAATGGGCAAGGGATTTGAACATTCACCAAAGATATATGGATGGCAAATAACCACATGGAAAGGTACTCAGTCTCTTTCATTATTAGGGAAATGTAAATTAAAGATACAGTGAAGTACTACCACACATTTGTTAGAATGG